AAAATTTTTTTTTTCAAATTTTTTTTTTGACAATGTGAACAAATTTAGACTCAATAGTAGAAAAAATTATCATTTTAATGGATAAATTCCATAAAAAACGAAGTCAAATGGACACCAAATTTTCAACATTTTTCATGGAAAATTATACAAATCAAACACAATTAATTACAATTCTCAGTAAAACATTTTCTAAGAAAATCGATTCCCTGTAAAATATTTTCTTTCCACCCATTTTCCACCCTTGCAATCAAACGGTAGTATAATTATATGGTGCATTTTTAAAAAGCTCGTGGGGAATAATTATTCAAAAGAATTTTAAAATAAGTATTTATTTCACTAGTGTCAATAAAAAGCATTTTTAAAAAATATATTTTTATAAAAATTATATATCCCATGTTTGGTTTAGATAAAAATCAAATTTTTAGTAAATTTTGATAAAAATTGATTGAATAATAGTTAAAAATTGTGAATTCCAAGAAATGCGTGGTTAAAGTGACTATGATTTAAACTTTAATTAGATTTTATAATTAAACCAAACAAAGACATAATTTATCTATTTACGACTCATAATATTTTAATTAATGTTTTGAGAAGAGCATTTAGGCGAGCAAAAAGCTTTGACTTGACAGTGAGCGTGAATTAAGTGGCCAACTATTAAGTTGATCACCTATTATGTGCCTAGGCGCGTCTAAACGTGCTTAAGTGTGCTTATTAATTTTTTATTTTATTTCCCCCCCTTTTAGAAATATTTTATTTGACTTTAATTTATTAATTTTTTTAATTTTTAATTTTTTAAAAGGTTTTTATTTAACTTTTGTCTCAAAATTTTAAATAATTTTATTTGTACAAAAGTAAAAAATGAATTTATCCAATAAATGTTTAGATAAGATTAAGTTCCTGTTTGGTAGGGATTAAAATCATTTTTTAGTAAATTTTGATAAAAGTTGATGAAATATGTGGTTGAAAAGATGTGAGTCCTATGAAATGTGTGGTTGAAATTAATTGTTGACTTTAACTTAAATTGAAATCTAGATTTTAATTCTTACCAAACATGTTCTTAAGCTACAGCACTATCTATATTAGCCTCTGCTTGAGTATCCAAGGATAAAGGTACATGTAAAAGCCATTTGATCCCCCTCAAAACTTGCATTGCATCCCTTACAAAATTGTAATTATGATTTTGAAATTTATTGTTTTGTTAAAAATTTCGAAAGTATGTATCAAGTCTTATAAATATGTTATGTAGTACTTGTCTAATTGAAAATTGAAACTATAAAAAATAATTTAACTTTTGCATTTGAAAACTTGAAAATTGAATAATTGTAGGTATTATTAACTAAGGTCCTGTTTGGGAGGGAT